TAATTTGCAAATAGTTTAGAGACAGCTGGTGTTATGGAAATTGGCCGGTAGTTGATTGGATTGGCTGTATCTCTATTTTTGAATACGGGAATGACTTGTGATTTTTTTCAATTCAGCTTTCGTATACATTCGTTTTTTATCATAATTTAAATAGGGTTGATTATGTGCACACTGTGTTTCAGGGACCAAAAAGGTGTTTTACTGGGTCCTAAAGGCTTATCGATTGGAAGCAAAAAAACTGCTTCAAACCTTTCTTTGAGGGGGGCACATCTGAATTGAAACTTCATGGTATCATTTCTCAGAGCAGTAGGTGTGGAGGACATTGAAATTGGAGAATGTGTTTTTTCATAGACGCCCAAGGTTGAAAACTTGCAACTAAGCAGGTCAGTTAGTTAAATTACCAAATGAGTTCCGCAATTCATTTATCTGGATAGTTTGCTGAACTGTGTTTTTTATGGAGTTGATGAAGTTGCATTGCTTTTTGGGACTGTCGAGATTCTATAAACGAGATTTCATCTCATTCGCGTTTACAGGTTTTATAATGAAAAGCAGTTTGTGTAGACTGGAAATTTCTCAGTGCAATTTGTTTTTTCAATCTCAATGATTCGTCTTTTGAGCATATAATTTTTTTTAGATAATTGAAGTGTGGCTTATAACGGACAAACTTTTTTTCAAGTGGTGCGTGAAAATTAATAACCTCTGTGAATACTTGTTCCAACCTAAGTAATTTATTTGAAACTGTTTGTTATTTGCAGACAAATTTTCACAAAATCGATTTTTATTGTTTGTACTTTTTCTTGTTGAACCTCAAATTTCGTATTGGGGACAGTTTTTTCTGTTCTTTTGATTTTACTTATACACATTGTCCTTAGGTAGTCCGTATCAAATGGTGCTTCAGCTACAAGAGTTTCTTCACAAAGAGAATTGGTTGTGATACTATAATCCAAGAGGGATCTGCTATGTGCCGAGTTATATGTTGGCAACGTCGTATTTGCTGTGGAGAAATTATATGATTTAATCAATTCGCTGATAAATTTGGCTTTTTTTGTTCAGTTATTTGATGTTGAGATCTCCAAGGATAGCTAATTCTCTGGCTTGCGAAGCTATATAGTCAATACCTTTCATTGTGTCTTCAATAATTGTTTCAATTACTTGTGTTGAAGGTAAGTAAGAGCTATTATCTGCCTTTTGGTATGATTGGGCTAAGTTCTACTCAGATGCCCGCGAAGTGGGAAAACGTCAGAAATTTATGTCTGTCTTTCCAGATCTTAGGGTTAAATTTTTTTGGCATAAGAAGAAGTGTACCCCCTCCTGAGTTTTGAACAGAACATGCTTCAATTCGGTCACATCGGAATATGTTGTGGGTTGACATACAGAAGGAGTAGGTGAGATGATCGCATGTTTCATCCAGACAAGTTTCAGTGAGACCAATAATAGTGTTTGAGGTAATAACTTATGAAAGGAAGAGTATTTCAACATGTTTGTTTTTTAGGCTTTTTCAGTTTAGAGTTAGAAAGTTAGAAACTTGATGTACTCATGGTGTTGTTTCGCAATACTTTTGAGGTTCTCATAAGACATGACTGCGCCTGGGCTTACTTCGATGTCCCCGCATAGGAGGAGCAAGGTTTGCAACATTGCAATCTGAAAAAGGGATAAAAGAAACTGCACTAGTATAGATACAAGCTGTAGGCGCCATAACTGCGCAGTTCACTGAATAACTGTGCTTTAGTCTAATGTTAAAAATTAGGGGAAAATATGGGGAGTCTTGAAAAGAAAATTACTAAACATGATTTGTAAACAAAAAAAACTCAACATTCATTGGGCACATAACTGCTAAATTCTCATTATTATGGATAATATCTGTTACGTAAGTCATAATTATGACGATTATTGTTCACATAATTATAAGTTTGGTTTATTGTGAAGTTTGAATAACCATTTTCTTTATAGCCATAGCTCGTCAATTTCTCTGGGTGCTCGGGGCTCCTCGAGACTTGGCTTGAGCTGGGTTTTGTGCGGTTCCTCTGAGAGTGCACTGGGCCCCTAGGGTGCACTGGGCCCCTAGAGATAGAAAGGTTCTGTGACATAATTCGAGGCCATATGTTCGATAGTGGTAGCTTTTTTCCATTATGGCATTCTTCAAAGTACTTACGCATCTAAGCAAATGTACTTCACCATAGAAAAGTGACTCTGTTTTCTCAAAGCTGAGTTGGTTTATCGCCAAACAGAAAACTACATAAGAAATGCTAAGTTTAATGGTATATTTTAACTTGTTTCCAGAAAAACAAACAATAGTTACTCGTTTACTTATTTGGAAACAAAGGGTGGGATATTATCAAGACTCGCGACCTTTTTCTAATCCGGAAAAGCAGAAGTCGAATTTTGACAAAAAAAACAGAGGTCGAATCCTTGAGGTAGAAGGGCGTCTGTACCCCCTAATTCCTCCCCTGCCTGTTGAAGACAAGTACGCTAGCATATTAAAACCATTTCTGCCACGACTTGAACTACAGTTTTTTACTTTAAAAATTGTCTCAGTTTAGAATTGATAGTTTCAATTGATCATTGTTCAGTAATGCGCTAAACCGAACGGCAATTGGAACTTTCAAGATGTTGCTACCATACATTGAACCTTACTGTTCTAAAAAGCTTGAATTTCAAAAAAGAAATTCACCGGTGACGCGCGTTTGAAAAGTTTTGTTAGAGCGTAGGTTGCGGTACAAATTGGCTTTGAAAACAAACCGAACTCAACGTTTGTAAATTATTTGATCTTTTTAACCCGTCGCTTTAACCTGTCACTTTGACCGTACATAGTGTACGGATTAAAATACAATCGAAAAAAAAAATATTTTTCAGTTGACATAAAAAAGATTTTGACTCAATAAAGGTTTTACTATATATTTCGTAAGCCTCAGAATTATCAAAGGAGACTTCGGCTGAATTAGAACACTCTTGTTTATTTCCCGACTTTCGAATTTTGACACATTTTGTTGACGCAAATTTTTATACGCATTTTTTGACGTAATTTCTTACACTCTTTAACGCATTTTTTTACACTCTTTTCACAAAATTTTCAACGATCGTAATTGTAGAATTGTGGCGATTCAGGTTTTGCCAATTTTATTAATTTGAATTGATTGCCTCGCTATATGTTTTGTTCCATTAACTCGTAAGCGGAGAATTAATCCAACTTCAACACTGTTTCAATGGAGGCATAACATTTGATCTAACTATTATCATAATGAGCTTAAAAAGCATTTGGGGATAGTTTTCAAAAAATCTCAAGCAAAATGTGAACTCTATTTTCACGTTTTTTTGCAATTTCATCATTTGTTAAAGCGAACATCACGCTTCAAATCAGAAAGTAATTGAGAAGATTACAAAAATATGATAAACAAAAATGATGGCCCAACCCCTTTGATAATAGAAAAAAGTGGATACATTAAAGACAACCACTCAAAACGTACCAATGTGGAAGAGGATCAAAAAAAAAGAATTAAGAATAACAGTGTTCAACCTGGACATGGGATAGAGAAACATCAAAATGGCACCACTGTAATTATGAAAATTCCAGAACAAAAGTGCACAAATATAATAATCCCGCCGCATCAGAGACAGCGAAATTTAAACAAAGATTGGACAGGCACAATCGAGCCAATATTAAATATATCAATAACGAATAAGTGGTACCACTTTAAAGTTTCTCTGTTCTTCTCCAGGTTGAACACTCTTTATACTATTTTTCTTAATTCTTTTCTTTTGAACCTCCTCCTTATTGGTACTTCTCGGGTTGGTGCTTTTGCTGTATCCACTTTTTCCTTTTCTCAAAGGTGTTGAGCCACCTTTTTTATGATCATATTTTTTAAAACTTCCCAATTATTTTCCGATTTGAAGCGTGATGTTTGCTTTAAGAAATGATGAAACTGCAAAAAAAACGTGAGAATAGAGCTCATATTTTGCTTGAGATTTTTTTGAAAACTCTCCCCAATTGCTTTGTAAGCTCACTATGATAACAATTAGATCAAAGGTTATGCCTTAAATGAATTGTAAATATTGGCGTAGTAGTTGCGATGGGGTTGGTTTTCTTCTCGAGATATGCTTCGACTTTTTTCGCAAAGAAGAGCTTTTTTGGTTTTCATATAGTCTGAAAGATATTGTAATGAGTTTTCAAAAAATCACAGGGCTACTCCTTTCAAGGCGAACCTTTGATTGTTCCGACCGCTTTTTGAATTCTATGGAGCAGTGTTCGCTGTGGAAACAATTGATGAAGTTTTCAAAAAAATTTATATGTATTTTTGCAAAATTCATCCCCTCACGCTATGTAAAACACAAAGTAATACATTCAGCATGCGGCTAAGTTTTGAAAAGATCAAATAGCTGGCCTCAATTCACGCTGGAACGATTTCTAAGACAGATCAAATTTCGGCTTACGCGTTAATTTAACAATAAAATAAAGATCTGAATGTTTCTACTGTCTATTAATTGGTCTAGAATCGTTTTGATGCATGAAATTTTAGCCTTATAATATCCAAGTACTAAAGTTTGAGTCGTTTATGGAAGTAATAAGACCATTTAGCTAGCTCCGTTCAATTTGAAACACTTATGAGTGCGGATAATTTGCCACGCATAAATAACTCGCGTTTTGCAATAAGCTATCCAGCAGCAAAGCAGTACTTAAGTCAAGTGTAAGCATACTCCTTTGACAATCACATGATTTCCGGATCGACGACAATGCACATACGCAGTCAACTTTTCTAAAATTTGTCTGATAATAAAAAATCACCCCGGGATATATGTTCGTCACTTTCTTCAAAAGTCCGCGGAGCAGTAAAAAAAGCGATATACTTCGATCTATTAACGCGTGCCTAAGAGGCAAGTTAATCCGGCTAATTTTAAAATTGTAAATAACTTTTATCCCAAAGCGACGACAGAATTTGAAAAAAAACTATTTCACCAATTTTGAAAATATATTAAGTTTGTATGGCAGGCAAATATTTATTTACCTTTTCAGAGTTGAAAGCTTCTGTTTCTGCCGATAAACAATTTTTGCAAACACAAATTTGTCTTATTCTGAATAAAGTACAAAAAATAACACGAAGTATTAAAATTGTTCAGTGAAGTTTTTGTTCGCCCAATAATTGTTTGATTAAAAATTCAAATCGAACAAATATTCATAAACAACTTTTTACTTGTCGTGCGCTCTGTGCAAAAAATGAACGAAATTTTCTGCACCTTCTGGTTGGTATGAATAAAAAGATGAAACTAATTTACAATGCTTGTGGTTCTGAATGAGTTTATGGGTTATTACAGGGGCTCTGGGCAATTCCCTGGGGCAGATAATAGCACGTAGTCAGCCGCCTGTCTGAAGTGAATGCACCGATCTTTTGTTTTATTTCATGCAGTGTTGAAATGCATATTCGCAATAATTGAAGTATGAAATAACTCTCAGCAAAAGTTTTCTCTACCACTGGAAAGACTTTTCAAGTGCAAGCTATTGAACAAGGCGGGCAAGCCAAAGGCTCATTCATTTGTCATTTTTTTCAATCTATTGTTATAAATATTTGCCCTTTTTGCGACTACTGCTTTTTGGGAATCTTCTTAATAAACTCCTCTTCCCCTCCCTAAAATTCACTGATTTAATTTACTTAACAAACTCGCCTTTCTTATAGATCCGTTGTGATTGTTCTATGACACATCTGATTTTCAAAACATCGACTCTCACAAGTTTTTCGAAACATTTCTGATTGGTTCTAATCTGAGCCAAAATATATGCGGATTGGGACAAAATCAGATCCGTTATTTAAAAATAAGCTGATATAGTACAATAAATTATTCTGGAAATCATAGAAAGTAGCATCATATTGAAACGAAATTGGAATAATACGATAGAAAATATAACTACACATGACTTTTTCGAGAAGTTTATTAAATTTACTTCCATAAGTTAGCCCTAATTTTCTTCCGGGTAGAACTTATCGATTTCCTCTTTCAATTTTAGAACGACTACGTTTCGTTTTAGTTTCAACGTGGGTCCCAAATCACCTGCAGCGATACTGAAATCTTGGTCCAGAATTTCAAACTTCTGAACTTTTTGTGCATTGGACGTAGCTTCGGTTTCATTGTAGTGTTTGATAGCATTTTCGACCATAATCTTGATCCGATCGTCGCTTTTGGCGGCCGAGACAGTGCTGATGCCAGTGATTCCTCCTCGTTCCAGACATCTCTTAGTCCAGTTGGTAAGCTCATCGGTAGGCCATTCTTGTCCGTTTTCATCCGTTCGGAAATTACACTGAAACAAAAACGAGTAATTTCAACTTCTATGTCAACAAATCTAGCCGAATAAAACTAGCCGAGTTTTTTTCCGCTTTTTTTCTTGATCTCGAGTGCTCGTATCAGGGCAAAGCCCTGAATGTTCACATTGCCTTATCAGCTTTGTTTAATACTGTTCGCTTTATAAATTGATGAAATTAAAAAAAAACAAGACTGCTTGTATCAGGGCGAAGCCCTGAATGTTCCTACTGCCTTTTAAGGTCTATGGAGCAGTAATAACAATAAAAAATAAATTTATTAAAATAAAATGAAATTTGTCAGTGGAAAAAAAACCCAAGCACAAAAATGTCCGCCATTTTCTTCGAAGTCAAAAAACACGACTGCTCGTATACCAGGGCAAAATCGTGCAAGATTGTGAATGTTCCGACTGCCCCTTAATTGGTCTCAAAAAATATTTGTTCTTTTTACTGCCAATATCGAACGCAAGTGGTAAGGTTAAGTTATGACAAATGATAAATGGCCTCAGTCAAATCTGAGAAAATTTTGAGTGCGGATAATTTACCACGCATATTATTGTATTATTCAATTAAATTAAGCTGATATTTTATCAAAGACCGATATATTAAACACTTTTAGAGGATAATTCAGGCAAACTTTTCTATTTTGAACTCCAAATTTATGAAAAAAATTCTCACTGAGGCACTGAAAGCTTGATATTTGGACTGAATTAAGATAATTTTTTGTATCTATAGAATTTTTTTCAACAGTGTGGTCAGATAGATGAGACAACCAAGAGACAAAAAAGAAAAACTTTGCGTTTCTTAAGCATTTTGTTTGTAATTTTTTTAGCATCAACATTTGAGAAAGCATCACCTTTTTATGCTAATAAAATCTCTAACATAATTTGAAAGATTGAAAACAAAAAAATTTGTTGTCTTTTCTATCCACTCTGACAAATTGGATAGAAATATATTCCTATCGATCATTATACAGATAAATACTCTATGAAAATCGTTTTACCGTAGTTCACTTAGATGCGTGCATTGAATCAGAGTAGAATTAAGCGGATTTTTACGGTAGGAAAAAAAACGGATCATATTGCCTAAAAAGTCAATTTACATAAAAGTATTTAGATTTTTTTGTCAGCTAGTGAAGTTCATCAAAATTTAAGAAGTTTGATTCAAATTAATTATTCTTTTTGTTTCGAATTTCTAGCAAATTTTTGAACATAATAAGTAAATTTTTAAAAATCATCATCAGTAAAATTTTAAATTTTCAGGAATTTCTTCTATGTTTAGCTAATATAAGCGTTTCCGTGCTAATGAAAAATAAATTCAAGCAATAACTCTTCAAATGTAATTTTGATTATTCAAATGTGGCCCAATTTTGTTAGGCAAATGTCTATATTTGAAAATTGTTATATTTGAAACAGTTCAATTTGACAATGGAAACTTACATGTTAGTTATTCTCATAGTTTCTCAATCCCACAGACCATCGCAAAAAATCATTTGAAAAGCTTACGTATTAATTTTTTTCCAGTTTTCTCTAAATTTGATAGTCGAGAAAAAGTGAATATGATGTGTATAAACCTTATAAAAATATACAAAAGTGAGGATGAAATTTATTTTAGGATCTGCGAAGTCCGTATGAAAATGTTTTATTGGTCCCTTTTGTTTTTTTTGAGATAACCATATTTGGCTGACGGACCCTAAAGTTTTTTAAAGGTGCCTTTGGCGCCAATAAACACTAATTTTGAGAGGGGAGCGCGCACAAAAAATACGCGTTTTTTTGGCCTATTTTAAAAAAATTTTGCCGGCGGCACAAACATTTGGGTCACAACAGGGTCTTTTTAGTGCATTGGGAGAGCTCGGAAAATCAATTTGGACGACCTAAAAAAATGCCGACAAAATTTTTGGATATTTTGAAAATCCGCCCCTCTCGAGAAAATCCTAGATCCGCCCCTGGCTCAATTAGTTATTATTAAACTCGGTTATTTGCATGAAAAGGTTATCTGAAACGTTCTTCATTCTATACAATTGTTTAACAGTCGCAGTTATAAAAGGCGCAAAAGGCATAGCAGTTATAAAAGACATAAACACTTGTAGGCAAAATCCTATGGTGCAACCCTTGTGAGCAAATCAGAGTGAGCGATTTCCTGGGTGCAGGGTTGCTTTTCTCCGACAATTTTGAGTATCTCGAAGAAAACTTACGGCGCAACAATTGAGATTAGGGGCGGATTTAGGGGGGGCGGACGCCCCCCCTCAGGGATTCGACCCCTTGCCGACCCAAAGGGTCCCCCCCTTTGGTACTTTTTAAGAAATCTGTTTTTGTTCGACCGACCCTAAAGTTTTTCTAAAGGCGCCTTTGGCGCCAATATATACTAACTTTGAGGGGGAGCGCGCGCCAAAAAAACGCGATTTTTTTGTCAAAATTTTTCAAAAATTGCCCGAAAACGGCTTTTCTGACTGTTTTTTCAAAGTTTTGCAGAAAGTTTGGCCAAAACAGGGTTTAAACAGTGCTTAGGGAAAAAAATCAATTTGGTCGACCTAAAAAAAAAAGTCGACAATTTTTTTCGAAAATTTTCGAAATTTTGTTGAAAATCCGCCCCACCTCGAAAAAATCCTAGATCCGCCCCTGATTGAGATATAATTTTCAAGTTCTCTTAGTCGTGTTTACAAATTTTATATAAAAAAATACGGAAGGTTTTTTCAGACTGGAAAAACTGATAAATAAGTATCGGTTATTTCGATTATTAAATTCGTTAAGTATATATTTATACCTTGAGAGTTATGAAGCATGCTAGAAATTTCCTCCTGTCCCCCACAACCAGTACATTGCTGATGAGGTCTTCGCAGTTGGCCTTGATAGCCTCTTCAATGGGCACAGGTGGTACATTCTCACCCCCAGCTGTGATGATGAGTTCCTTCAGTCGCCCTGTGATGTACAGTTGTCCCTTCTCGCTCAGCCTCCCCATATCTCCTGTCTTGAAGAAGATCTGAAAAAGAACAAACTTTTGTACAAACTAGATTTGACAAAGGATAATTGGCTGCTGAATGTTCCCACCAGACTGATGGAAAAATCAAAAACCACAACCAAATCTTAAATCGAAGAAAATTAAATTTTAAAAGAAGTCAAGTTTCCTAATTTGTTTGTCTAGAATTTACTTTGTTTTGTTTTGTTTTCTCAAAAAGGCGATTACATAAAGTTCAGAAAATGCTCAAATAATGATGATTTACAGCTGACATAAGCTTAAAATTGCGGTATAGTTCACTTTTAATCAAATTCATGTCAGCCTCTATCTAATTTACAATACGGGACTAAAAAACAAAAAAAAAACAGACTATTTGTTTTCGATATTGAGACAACACTTCGAATACAAATGAAAGGTGCTTTAGTATGATAACACACTTGACCCCTTATGAACTTTCTATGAGGAAGTCAAAATCGAAAAGCCGCTGAAAAAACACAGAACCTATGCTGTACTTCCTTCTCATCCAGGTGATGGGAACCAAAAGACTGAATAACCGAGTAAACCAAAAAAGCTATCAAAGCAATTTCCAATATTTGATTCAGCATTCATTAATAAAAAATAGCTTGGAAACTCTTTGCATCTTCTTTGACTCTTTCCAGTCCGATAACTTTTTGTGGTAACTTATTTTGCGTGGAAAACAAAGCAAAAGAAAAAAAGGATAGCCGGTTACTGTTCAAGTAGCACAGAATGTTGCGACCATAGTCTTAAAGAAACGCAACAAAGTTTTTTCAAGTTATTGTCGTTTTTTTTGGCGTGGTGCAATAAAAGGAGCTGAAAAAAACTGGGGATTAGGTATATGCGACAAGTATAGTAAACTAAGCAAATTGGAAAACAATTTTTATAGAAAAACCACTAGAAAAACGAAAAAAATTTTTATTAAAAATTGAAAATTTTTCAGGTGTGTTGCAGTTTTTTGAATTTTTGAGAAATATGATTCCAAAAAGGCGCTAAAATATTCAAAACCAACTAATGTTAATCGAATAAAACTAAAATTGTACGTTTCAAATTAAGCTATTGTAAATTTTTAAGCAATTAAATTAAAACTGACGCTCGCTTTATTTGCTCGAAATGAAACGAAAAGTCAAAATTTTCAAACCTCATTTTCTCGACACTGGGAAAACTTTTTTGAATTTTCTAAATGTTGACCAAATTACGATTGTAAGTGCTTTATTATGATAAATCTTTCAACCCACGTCTATTACTATTTGTGGTACTTGATTTTGCGTGGAAAAAAAACTAAAATAGACCCGAATACAAAGTTACTCTTCATTTTCAAGGGTCGGAACAAAAACTCTCAAGAAAATCTAATTTAACCACTAATAGTTATTGTGTGATTTTTTGTTGCTAAAATCTCAAACCTTATTGTGTTCCGACCATTGTGTTTCGGTGGGTTTTACTTTTTTTGTTTTCCACGCAAAGTTAGGTACCACAAAAAATCATCTGAATGGTTTGAGTGATAGATCACGTTAAAGGTCTTTCAGTCGTGATTTGAACCGTTAAAAAAGTTGCGAACAAATTTCCCAGTTTCGAAACAAGGGTTTGAAATTCCTTGTTTTTCGTATGTCTTATTTGAGCGCTGAAAGCGATCATCGTAGAATGATAGTCGCAATTATTAGTAAGTGTCTGAAAAATGAAAATTTTAATTTTACCTAAAGGAAAATTTGTTTCGAAGTGTCCGCAAAAAAAAAAGTTTTTTTTTTACTTTTAATAAAAATTTGTTTTGAAAGCTTTAGTTTTTCTGTTAAAAAAATTTTCAGCCCCCTTTTGGCAACAACAATTTTCAAACAAATCAAAAAATTGTCTGCAAAAGAAATAAAAAAAACATTTATTTTTCAGAACAAACATCAAGATTATTATCACTATCAAAGTCGGAAACGTTTGAAAATTTTCGTTGAGACATTTTCATCAAAATCGAATTTATTTAAAAATTATTTTGCTTTTTTTTATGACTATGGTCAGATAATTCTGTGCTACTTGTACAAAATTAGGCTATTCTTGTTCATCCAACCATCAAAAATGGGGAGTAAATTTGTATTCAATTGAATTATAGTTTTTGTTTTCACGCAAAAGCAGACTTCACAAATAATCATCCTGCTGGGTTGAGTGATATATCATGTTGATGCATTTTCAGTTGTGATTCAAACGAAATTTAAAATTTTCAAGAAATTGTCCCAGTATCGAGAAAAACAGGCTTAAAATTTTTGGTAATTTGTCTGTTTTCGAGCGAGTAAAGCGATCGAGTAACGTTCCTTCTGTAAAAATACCAAGTTAGGCTAAAATTTACTTGACTTTAATTTAAAAAAATTTCGTTTTGTTTTGAAAGCCTTAGTTAGCGCTTCTCTGGCAAAAAAAACGTTCGACAATGATTGAAAGTAAAGCATGAAAAATTTATAAAAATTTTTATCACTTTTTTTTATTTTTTGAATTCAATTGTAGTCAATTAACTTCAATTCATTAAATTACTACGCCATTATATAGCTCTATCATTACACGACTGAAAAGAAAACACACTAACTTGAAGAAAAAATTTCTGAGATTTTGGTCGGAACATTTAGTGCTACTTGCACTGCAACCGGCTATCCTTGTTTTAGTTACGTTTTTGTCGATGTTGAATTAAAACTTTTAGGAGTACTGAACAAAGCAAGTTCCAAGTTTTTAGGACTCATATTTGGTTGATATTCGAAATTTTTGACAAATCGGTCATAACTGAATAGATCATGCATTTTTTTTGGTTTCAGTTCATTCTCAATGTTCTTAATTTCGAAAAAAACAAGCAATTTTTAAGCTCGATTTAAATTTCTCCAGGAAAAGTTTGATAGCAGAAATATGATTCGTGCCCCCCGGGTTGATGTGCTCACTTTATGTTGCGACAATCTCCGCCAAATTTCAACCGTTTGGATATAATTCAACTTTTCCGGCCTAAAACAATGTGCTTCACCATGCTCGACCCAGGAAAGAATTGTTTTCACCATATCACTCGAAAAAAGTGTCCAATTTTGCTCGACCCAAGCGAGGTATATTTCGAACGTGCTCGAGATATCATTCGAATATCGATAAAATTCTTTGATTTTTTTGCATATATTGAGTTCAAAATCTGATCTATTTTGACCCTTTTCTTGATACGTTTCATAAGTTGTTGCTTAAAATCTGATTTATTTTCATAACTTTCTATGATTTTTTTGCATATTATTGAGATCGCAATTTGATTTTACCTGACCCTTTTCTGGTTTGTTACAAAATTTTGCCCATTATCTGATTTACAATGGTTTTCTATGATTTTATTGCAAATTTTTGCTTTAAAACCTGATTTATCTGGATCATTTTATTGAATTCTATAATATCTGGCACGAGTGTTTATTTTTAAAAAATCGAGAATAAAAAAATCCAACAATTGTTTTAAAGGGTATATTTTTTTCGCCGTATTAAATCGTTTTAAAATGGATTTAAGTGAGATTCTGATGGATTTAAGTGAGATTTGGATGGATTTTAGTGAGTCGGAAAATCCATCGAAATCGATTTAAATTGATTTTTTAGACACTTTTATCGATTTAAAATGTTGAAAAAGATCGATTTAAATTGATTTAAAGTCCATTTAACTCGTCAAATGTACATGGTTAATCGATTTGGATCAATTTTAAATCAATTTTAAATCAACTTAAATTGACCGGAAACCATTTCTGTCAGTGCGGGAAGCTTTGATTTCTCTTGGCTGCGCGCCAACAAGCTTTCATTCAATAGAAAATATCAGGTTGACATTTCAAAAAAATAGTGCTCGTAAATGGGATATTTTGGACAAGTGTTGTCGGGACGCGATTCTCATGCGCGAAGGACCGAATGAGCGAAAAAACTCGTGAGCGAAAGATCGAAAACAAAATTAGCCGAAAGTCACTTTTTGAAAAGCAATTGCCATTCAATTAAATGAAACAATATTTTGCTTCTTTCATAACGAAACCCTTGAAAAACAAATTTGTTCCAGAAATTCGCATATTTCTACCGTTTTTTATTTGGCCAATATCAATATTCAGTCCCTGGAAATGTTTACTTTATTTACAAGTTTTAGATTACTGAAATCTGATTGGCTGATTTTTTTCTTCGCGCATTCAGTCCTTCGCGTATGAGGGATTCCACCGTGTTGTCGCACTGCTAATAACGCACAAATACAATTGGTTTTCACAATTTTCAGCGGTATTGCATTTGAATGCTGTTATTCACCTAAATTATTGTGTTTTCAATCAATTTTCTCTTGTAAAACTAATACATCTAAGAATTTAGTATAAATCTGGGCTATAATTAAAGGTATTTCCTGTAAAATCCATATTTTGTTTCCCCAAAATTGTTTTTTTATGGGGGGGGTGCATTTTACGGTTGATCCACAATTGAGGATATCATTTTTTAGAAATGAAAAAATATAGCTCAAACTGCAAACATTTTCAATACAAAAAAAAAGCTTTCCAATTCTCTTTAACTTGTCATCCTCTGAAGTTGCCATCGGCGCCAACAGTTACGCATTTTGTATCAAATTATCTAACAAGCCCTTATACGCACATTCTTGATTATGCATAAAATGAAAGACGGTCGATCCACAGTTGAAATGAACGTGAACTTTTTTAAGTTCATTTTATTTATTTTTGAAAGTTCAGCCACAGGTAGATAAATATAATTGGTTGGTGTTCTCATCAGATGGTTTCCAAAAAACTAAGCTTTGGAGTAAGAGAAAATGAGAGGCAACAAACGTACTTCGCCGTCAGTTTCGGCCAGACAAGCCTTCGTGGCATCCTCCCTGTTGAGATATCCACTGAACACATTCTGACCGGCCAGCAGAACTTCTTCCGTCTCTGGATCTATCTTCACTTTGTAGTGAGGGTCCAGTGGTTTACCTATTCACAATAAGAATGGCATAAAAATTAACATTTTAGAAGTGCGAGTGTAAATGAAATTACTAGAAATCATAGGCCAACGGGCAAGTTTTTTTTTGACAGAGGGGGCGTTTTAAACTCAACTTAAGACTATATATATGACGAGGCAAAATCGCGGTACAGGAAAATTTCAGAAAAAAAGCAATTGGGAGGGTTCCAAAAAATTAAGGTCATACAACTTATCCAAAAAATTAAGGTCATAAGGTCACAAACAATACAATCAATTTTAACTCCAATATAGGCAGACCACATTTGGTCAGCTCAAGATTTTTTCGATTTTTTTAAAGCTATCTTATTTTGCGAAAATCTTTTATCCGTCATTGTATAAAACTATTGTCTTCAAATCTTTGAAGTCTGATTAGACTGGAAGGATGTTTAAAAGGTACCTGCAGATCCGACTTCGAACTCGGCTAAGTCTTCCTGACACATGATCGGATACTGGGCAGTATGGGCGCCAGACACTTCTGACAGACCATAACCTGAACAGAAGAGAAAATTGGTTTTTTTCTTATAGTATTTTTTTCTAAAGGTGAACTTCATCGAGATTTTCTAAAAATGAACTGACTGAAAATGCTTAGGAAGTAGCGCAAACTTTTTTTGAAGCTTGGAGTGTCTATTGAAGGAAATATCCGTTCACATCACTGGTTAAAATGTCATGTGAGTGCGCAAAGTTATGACAACTGATAAATGTGTTCGAATATAACCTTGGCAAATAGGCATGTCTAGCTTGAGCCAGAACCTCTGGGTGTCTTCCAGTAATGGAGCTCCTCCAGAGATGGAGTACACGACCCCGTCGAGTCCTATCTTCTTCTTCAATGAGGTGATCACAGACCTCGAAGTGTATGTTCCCCATGGCTCTGGCAGTCCGTTCATCGCACACTCGTTTGCAACCAGCATCCGGTCCAGACACTTCCGGATCGACCTAGCGAAGAGTTCCGAATCGGATTTTTAAGGTGGAAAATTTTAAAGGTAATTAATTTTTAATGGTAAATTTGCTGGTACAGGAGTTGTGGTGTACATTATGTAGGAAATCAGACTATTCCCAGCCTGTTTGTATTCTAAGGTGATATTGGGTTTTTTAAACTTCCCCTTACCATCGCACTAGTCCGTACTGCTTCATGAGCGTCTGCTCCACTCCTGCTTGGATCTTCTCATAGACCCTCGGGACTCCTATGAGGACACTGGGACGGTGATCGGCAATCGTGGTTGCCAGGGATCCTTTTAGGGCGTCTGGCTTCGCGAAGATGCAGGTTCCTCAAAAAAAAAAATCATCAGGTTAAGCTTTTTATGCAGAAATAGTTAGGTTGTAACGAATTCGGTTCAAAAACTTACCAAAATTATGTGAAAAACATGAAAATATTTAGCAAGCAGTATTTATTTTCGTGCTTGTTACTGCTATTCTCACCGTAAGAGGGGGCGCGCTCCGAAAAAAAAACATTTTTTTTTTGACAAAAGTTTTCAAAAAGGGCCAAAACGGCAAAATCACAAATTTAGTTGGCTAAGCTTTTCAATGGAATGCTCGCTTAACTTGGCAGGGTTTCAGGGGAGCTCAGAAAAAGCATTCGGTTGACCTTAAAAGTTCGGCCCGGGCTTTTTTTCCTCCCCGGGTCACTATCTAGTCTGAGTCACTTCGTTGCCCTTAGGTTTTCTCAGTTCGAATCTTTTCAAAAGTTACAGAGTTGTCTGTGCTACTACCTCCGAGGCTGAACGTGGTGCCTATATCTGTCACTTGTGCCATTATATGACTCAGCGGCAGGTATGTGATGATCTTCAAGTCCTCGTTCTTCAACCAGCACTGCTTCCCCGACAACATCACAGCATTCAACATCGAAATGTAATTCGTATGAGTCAGAATTGCCCCTTTAGGGTTCCCTGTAGTGCCAGAAGTGTAAACCAAAGTGCAGCATCGGTAAGGTGAAACCGCAGCCTCGCGTTCCAGGACCTTTTCCGGTTTGGGACTGTATTCGGAAGCGTACTGTTCGAGCATTTGAGCCCATGTTAGAACTTTGACTTGGGAGTCGCTAGGTATCTGGATGTCGGCGACTGATCCCTGATACTGAATGATAGCCTAAAAATCACAAATTTAGTTAAACTATGCCGAATGTTTTCAATTGCTTTAAAATCTTATTTGGTTCCATGTCCAAGGTTAGCCCAAGCTATCCAATGTGATATCACTTTCAAATTGAACTTATTAACGTATCTGACTGTTCTTGATACACGCGAGAAAAAGATACTTCTTTCGCTCGACTTTTGAAGAAATCCTATATAAACTCGACCACCCAAAGTGGAACAGGAGCTGAATGACATTGTTATTCTAATCTGTTCATTTGCTTTCAGTTGAACTTTGGCCTTGAGGAAGAAAATGGTTTCAGAGTTCAGTGTGACCCGTAAAAATTAGTCAGTGCAAATTAGTCAGTCATGTAATGATCCTTTAACTTTCAAATGTGTCTTAAAATGTTGTGTATGAATGACCCATGCATGCAGTTCAACTGTGAACGCATTTCGGATCTTTTTAACTAATCCCCTTTTGATACCTAGTAACGAATTGCCAACTCTATAGAGAACTAATTCAACGCTTAAGCAAATGAGAGTTTTTTATCTAGTAACGAATCTGCCCCCTTTTGCAAAAGGAGGTGAAACTACTTAAAGAGATCACGGCTTTCAACCAAAAATAAGCGAAGAAAATAAAAGTTGTAAAAATGGGTAAAACGGGACAGGTGAACAAACAAGACCAGACGAGACTGCTCAAAACAAGGCAAAACCCTTAAAATTACGACAACCTAGCATTGTCTCTTGACTTTTAGTTATTTTGAAGTTATTTTAGACTTGAAGTTATTTTTGACTTTTATTAAAGTGATGAAACTTATGCCTGTTTTTTTTCCATTTTCCATTTTTGTCAAAAATTGGTCAGACGAAGAGCCAAACTTTGTCTGGAGAAAAATACACTCAGAGCACAATATTCAGTCACTTTCAAATTGGAACAAAAAAAGAGATGGTTTGAGAGAAATGCAGAAAACCAAAAACAAAATTCAAGAAAACATGGCTCGTTGTATTCCATTCCTGTTTTTGCTCCAAGTATTTAGAAAAAAAGAGAGTATGTGTGCCCGGTCTGTTTTGTCCTAAAAAGTTCGAATTGAATTTTTCCCAATTTTGACAAAACTTTAGTAGTACAAATTTCAAATTTTTTTGACTTGCGGAACAGTAAATTTAGCAGTTAATTTAAGGTCGTTCGAAATTTCCAGTTCCGCTAAATTTGAAAAATTTCCGACTTGTGGAACAGTAAGTTTAGCAGTAAGTTAAAAGACGTTCAAAAATTCCAATTCCGCTATTTTTGTTAAATTTTTGGCAAAATTTACTTAGTGTATTTACTCAGAAAAAACATCAAAAAAAGAAAACGGCATAAAACCTTAGTAGCATTTAAAGATATATATTACAAATTAACTACAACTAAGTCAAGCTTTTTTGGTGCAAATTTTTCTTCCAGGTTATCTTGCCAGTGATTTACATTGACATAAGTGAAATACGGTAGAAAAAAAATCAAAATCAAGCAACATTGACAAGTAGCGACCGCTTGCTCTGCTTCGCTCCGTTATGCTTAATAAAGTGCGCATGAATCAATGTTTGTCGCATTTTAATTTTTGGCTGCTCAAATATGCGGATATTTTGGTACTAGGGGCGGAACAATAAGCAGGTTGGTCTGAGAGCAGAAAGAGTCTAAGAGCAGAAAAATCAAAAAAGATCAGCTTTTATCAGCTAGTCGGTAATACCAGTATTAGAAATGTCAGTATTACCAAAATTCAAAATTTCTAACGGGTTTTTCTCAAATTGGCCTAGAATTAGACAAAAAGGATAGGAACAAAAATTGCATAGAATTTCACCAGAATTAAAGTTGTGCAATTCCAGAATTTTTAAACCGAAGTTTCACTCCGAAAATTCGTCACTTTGCCTTTTTTGAATCAAGAATTACGCAAAAACTAAAAAAATTATTGATGAGAAGTTTTATTCAAAAGAAGCCTCTTAGATAGCTCAACAAAACTTTGGAAGAAAAAAACGTTCAAAAATTAGAGTAAACATATGAACTTTGTTTTGAGCCATAGATTTTGATTTTTACCTAATAAAAATGATTTTTTTTCTTGGCTATCAATCAAATCTATATTCTCTTAGAGAGAGTTTGGAAAGTTTTAACCTGTTAAAATTTTGTTGTGCTATGTAAGAAGCTCCTTTCGATATAATTTTCTCATCAGTAAAAAGTAGTTGAAAGCGGCTCAGTTAATTATAAAGTAAATTCAATTGGTTGATCTATCGGGAATTTGCGCTAATATTTGAAAAAGAATTGTTATTAGGTGTCTTTCATAGTTTGACAAAATTTTACCATTTTGTACTCAATTTCATGGCTAACAAGTCTTCTTTTTTTTGAAATATTGCTCAAGAGTGCTTTTTTGTCAGAAAATCCAACTTAAACAAAAGTTGCAATTTTTTGAAACATTTCCTCTAAGAGAATAGATTTGTTGACATTTATTGAAAAACTAATACGTTTTTATGGGCAGAACTTTCAATGTTGTAGCGATTATTATTAGGATGAGTTAGTTG